GGGACGCGGCCCCGGGGCCGCGGGGACCGCTGACCGGGCGGCAGGAGTCGGCGGGGCCGGGCCATGGGGGACACAGCCGTTCGCAGCTGCCGGAGCCCGGAACCCAGCCCGAGTCGGAGCGGCGCCCCCTGCTGAGCCCCAGCTCCGGGTGAGAGGAGAGCGCGAGCGACCCCCAGCCCAGGGTCCCCTGCTTCCAGATCCAGCCCCGCGAGGGGCACCCAGAACGCGGCCGGGTAATCCCAGCCCCAGACCGGGTGAGGCGCTGGCGGCCAAACCCTGGCCTGGGTTTACCCCCATCCCACTTCCATCCTTTGGCTTCCCTCCGGGGCTCCTCTGCCAGCCCCCAGCGAGCCTCCCTTATTGTCCTCGCGCGCCCTAACATCGTGTCGCGGCGAGGCGCCCGGTTCACGTTTCCCCGTTGCCTCGGTCCCACTCCCCAAATCCCTGCCCCCCCCCCAGGTTCCACACCCACTGGGTCTTGTCACCCTCCCCCATCCTGGGGTGCCACGTGTTCAGGCCGCTCAGGCTTCCAGCCCCGCCCAAACGCACCCCTCAGCCTGGCCGCCAGTCTGACCCAGAACCCCTGGCCCAGAGGGAGGAGCGGAATGTTTGCACGTGGGTCCGGGTGTGAGCTGGCCAGCAACCTGTATGTATGACTGTGTAAGTCTAAGACCAGGGGCTTTCTTTGTGAGTATGGGACCGTGTTACTTCCTGTGGCTATGTAGTTTTCGGTGTGTCTTTGAGTGTGGGTGACAATAGCTGGGACCAGGAGTGCCCGTGTGATTCTGTGTGTCTGTGAGTGAGATTCGTCTTGCTCCCTAAAGCACTGCCAGAAGTGCCCAGAAGTGATTGCTGCTTTGTTAGAACCACAATTGGAGCCAATGCCTAGGCCAGACCCCTTCCTGCCAGGCTAAGTGCCCCGCCCCTGTCTCAACCGCCGCCCAGGTGTCTTCTTTCTCAGAATCAGAACCAGCAGTGCATGGCAGGCCTCAAGAGTGTTCCTCCCAGCCCCATGGGGGCTGGGCCTTGAGGTCTTAGAGATGAGGGGCTATATTTTGGTCTGTTGCTCCATTGGGAAGAGATCCCATAAGCATCCTGCTTATATCTGGGCTGCACTGGACCATCAAGGTGCTCAGGGCCACTTCCCAGCCTGGTCCCAGGTGGCCTGGCCTTCTTGTCCCTGGAACCTGCCGGACAAACCACTTCCCATATGAAAGGAGTAAATGAAGTCATGAGTTTAAAGTGCTCCTGCATAGTAGGTACCTGTTAATGGTCTCCCTTTGCTGATAGTGCTACCTTGTCATGTATCTGTTCTCTGGGGCACAGGTGCACATGTGGGTCTGTGGGTAAACGCATTTGCTTGTTTATGAGCCAGTGTGAGCAGAGTTCGCATGTTTGTATACATGTTCCTCGGAAGAACATGGTGGAATGTTTGTGGCCTTGTGCTAAGGGTATGTTGAGTGTGAGGGTGTGTGAGGCTATATTTGTATGTGTATTTATACTTGTGTGTGTATGTGTGTAAGAGAGGATGAGAAATTTAAGTGTTCTTTAGTATTTAGGTGTGTCTGAAGGCGTATAAGTATTGCATTGTCAGTGGCTGTGTGTCTATGTGTCTACTTGTGGGTAGGATGTGAGTGTGGGGATATGAGCAGGTAAGTGTGAGGCTGTGTGTGTCCATGAGTGTGAACAGCTGGGCAAGAGGTGGGTGGGTAGCCTTGCACATCCTCCCCTAACCTGCAGGGTCTGTTTCTCTCCCTACTCAGGCCGGCAGCCAGATGCCTGGGCCCATTGGGCCGGCTGGTGGCCACCTGCGGGATGAGCAGGCTGCTGGGGGGGACGCTGGAGCGCGTCTGTAAGGCTGTGCTCCTGCTCTGCCTGCTGCACTTCCTTGTGGCCGTTATCCTCTACTTTGACGTCTACGCCCAGCACCTGGCCTTCTTCAGCCGCTTCAGTGCCCGTGGCCCTGCCCATGGCCTCCACCCAGCTGCCAGCAGCAGCACCAACTGCTCTCGGCCCAACGCCACTGCCCCCAGCTCTGGCCTTCCTGAGGCTCCCAGTGCCAGGCCTGGCCCCACGGTTCCTGTCCTGCCACCTTGTCCTGACTTGCCGCCTGGCCTTGGTGAGCCTGCAGGGTGGGGCCTCCACCATGGTAATAGGAATGGGAAGAAAGTCTCATCAGTTTGACTTGGGGAATGGAGTCTTGATCCATGGGAGTGCCAAGGGTCCAGGTCTGTCGTAAGAGGGCTGTTCCTGGGGATTCCTTTGCCCATCATCATGCTGGGGGAGGAGCTGGTCTCCCTGGATTATGGCTAAGGCTCTGATTCCTACACCGTCCTGCCTGCAGTGGGCCGACTGTTGATTGAGTTCACCTCACCCATGCCACTGGAGCGGGTGCAGAGGGAGAACCCAGGCGTGCTCCTGGGCGGCCGCTACACACCACCTGACTGTACCCCAGCACAGACGGTGGCAGTCATCATCCCCTTTCGTCACCGGGAGCACCACCTGCGCTACTGGCTCCACTATCTGCACCCCATCCTGAGGCGGCAGCGGCTGCGCTATGGCATCTATGTCATCAACCAGGTGTGCTGACTGTGGCCCCGACTGGGCACTAGCCACCAGGGAACCTGTGTGCGCTCGTGGGGGTGCAGGGGCCCATGTGCCAGTTGGTGCATGTGTGGGGTTAGGAGCATTCGTGGGTCCATGTCTGCTTTGGTTATGCCCATATGTGATGAGCTTGTGGAGCACACGTGTCTGTGCACATAGGGAAGGTTTGTGAGTGTGTGAGGGGGTATATGTCCACCTGACATACATGCATACCAGTAGGCATGTACACGGCCTCAGCAAGCAGTAGGCCTTGTTTACTAGGCAGTCCCCACTCCATGCTGACTATGAGGAGTTGTTGAGGGCACCAAAGAGAGGGAGAGTTAGACTCTGAAAGAGGGATGGAATTTGCAGAACCCATAGGGGCATGTGCAGTCCACAGCTAAGGCCAGGAGATGCAGTTCAGCATCTAAGCCCTACTGTCGGCCTGGCCACTGGGGCCCAGAAAGATGTGATACAGGCCATCGCTGCCCACAGGTTCCCAGATGTGGATCCTTGTAGACTCCAGTAGGCTGATGGGTAGCTGAGTTGGAGCAGGGAGGTGTGGGAACATAGACCAGCCTGGTCCAGCCCTGGGGCTGGGAAGTGATAGCTGATCTGGGACTTGGGATGAAAAGGCATCATCCAACAGAGGACTGTAAGAGGCATGTGATCTAGGCAGAGAGACCTGGAGGACACAGGTTCTAGAGGGATAGCTGGTCTGTGTCTTCAGGAACTATCGGGTGAGGGGGTGGGGTTGTCCAATGTGGGGTGGGTAGTAATGATGAGGCTGGAGGAATTGGCAGAAGCCAAATCAAGAAGGGTCTTGCGAAGCATGGGAAGCAGTTGAGTTCCAGTGTGAAGGTCGTGGGGTACAATTGTAAGGTTTTACATAATGCATTATGCTTGCTTTTAGATACCGCTTTGATTGCACGTAGACAGTGGAATGGCAGAAGGATACTAGAGGCAGGGTGACCAGTTGGGAAGAGGTTACAGTGTCCAGGAAGGAGATGATAAAGGTGATTTAAGTAGGGCAGTAGCATGGAGATGAGGAGAAAGAGGTTATGCAAATGATGAAGAATGGGAAAGACAGATATCAAGGGTCTCTGTCTTAGATG